CCACATGTGGCTGACCCTATTCATTTTGCAAGCTTGAACCACCTGTGACACGAGAACAAGTTAGTAAGTCTGACCTCCAGGCTGCATCGATGACAGTGCAGTACACGTGCATCATGTAGCAAAAAACTAAAGGATTTTTGCCAGCACAGCCAAAATGACAGATGTGGCTGCAGTGACAGACTGCAGCTTGCACGTCACGGATGTGGCTGAAACTACGGGCATAGCTTTTCCTCTCGACGCGCTTCTCACCTCGGAGTAAAGCTGCATGATCGCCCATCAGAGCATACATAAGCATAGACTGTATATCGACGCGCTGAAAATTGGCAGTGCATGCTCAACCTTAGCTCGGTCTCTCTACTGGTTCTAGCGGCAGGAAACTGGCAGTGCTGCCACTTTCAAATTCTCCACCGCGCTGCCCCTACAATGATAGTCGAAACACCTTGAGTTTCGCAAGCTTTTCAACATTGGAATGCTGGACATGGAATTATTTATTTTTGCAAGTAGTGTATTCTAGACGTGTGATCGAGTGCTCACGCTAGTAGCTGGCTATGTAAATGGTAATCGCCTTGTATGCTGGGTTCCCACTGCGCCACTGGGAGCAAGCAGCAAACAGTGGATATTCCTATAACACACACATGCATTTAGTCAAACACCCTATTGAGGTTTTACAACTGTAAAATTGACATAATACAGGCATGAGAACTGTTGAGATGTTTTTGGAAGAAATATTTTCATTGAATTGTCATTTTCTATGAACCACTGTCACCGAGTTTCCGGTAGCGCATGACAATAGGGTAAAACCCTTTACGTTACATAGATAGCCCTGCGATATTTATCTGAGAGTTCCGTCACTTCTGTGTATTTTTCACGGTACTTTTCCTGACTTTTTATTAAGTTAAAATTAAAAATGGCGTCGATTTAGACAAGAAAAGAACCTTATCCCCCTCAAATTTTTATTAGTTTTTTGCATCGATCTCAAGAATGACCAAAATGAAAACTAAAACCCGGAAATCCGCGAATCTGCGGAAAATTCCATGCCTGATAATAAAACTTGATATACAAGCCTCTAAAACGTGATCCAACACTAATACAAGTGGCAGAACTTGTAGCTAGACAATGGGGTTGTATCAGTACCAAAATACCAGATGGCACTGCGATGCAACTCGGCCACTTGACCTCCTGCACATCGCGCCGTCTTACAGCGCTTTGCAATATAAATCACAACAGAATATCTACTCTCATTTGACATTACCGTCTAATTTTATTATCAGGCCTCCTCGTAATTATCAACTGTGGACCCTGCTTGAGCTACGCCAGGAGCACAGAAGCAGAAACAAGAGTTTCTAGGAGAAAACGCGATTTGATTACAAGGTAGGTTACTAGGTAAACACTAATGTGCAGATTATCCATATCACACTGTATGAGCCAGAGTACAATTAGCCGTATCGGCTTTCATTCACTTTATACATTAGGCATGTTCACGAACACATTTGATCAGTTTAGTGTACATTGTGTATTGAAAGTTAAACCAGGTCTAACTAATTCATAATTGCCTACATATCTAAGATTATAGACGGACACAGGGTGTAACACTAACAGTGAAGTGGGTGGATCCGTGTTACTGTTACTGTTAGAGTGAGTCATATAATTATTACGCGGCATTATCTAGATTATCTATTAAAGTCAACCTAGATGTTGACTTTAATAGGGTGGCTTTGTTAACCTGAAACAAACCATGCTAAAAAGTAAGTATGTAGTATTATTTGACATTGAAGATTGGAGTTTTTGGATGCCACCCACGCAACGGACAGAACCGACCCTACTCCCGGCTTCTGCATGACCGTCCCTGATGTCAGCCAATACAAGGACCTACATGGGGGGATGCCAGCAAGTATTCCCGGTGGTCAATGCTGCAAGAGTTGAGGAGTACTGGCAGCCATAAACAAAAAACTTGACGAGAAAAGCGTGGCCATGTACAAGGAAATATAAATTACAGACATGTACAATTAAACACGTTATATGAATAATAATATGAATAATAACAGAAAGAATGGATATTGATTACAGTAGAATGTTTTAACATAATAGATTTATTTAAATATTCATCTGGAGGAGCTCCCTCTCCAACTCCATACATACTCTGGTATCCCACCATGACCTCCATCACGCTTATCAGAAGGCTAGATTGGGGTATATTTACATTCTTGCCCCCCCCCCCACTCTGACGAAAGATATAATATAAATACAATACAAATGTTCTTTTTTCTTTTGTTCCCAGAAGATATGTGCGCTCCATGCGTGCAGCCCTCTCGCAGGATCAAACGTAACATATGTTGTAGCCATTATTGGGCAGAGATGAAAAAGTCTGCTGCCTACAAAGTAGACATCTGCATCAGCACTGACGGGGTAATAGAGGAGTGCCAGTGCGAGTGTGGCGCAGGGAAAGGACCGGCGGCCCACTGCAAGCATGTTGGAGCCATTCTGCATGGACTGACATGCTTTTGTCCGACTGGGAAGATCGTAACGAGCTAACATGTACTCAGGTATTTAAAATTACAAATAAAATGGCATTTTAAGTGCCATGATATTGAAACCCTAAAATTTCAAATGTATCCATTGCTCTCCCTTTGGGTTTCAAATAAAAAATGTTTTTAATCAAAAGATAGTTACTCTACTGAGTGTCATCACATGTATACTTTATCTCCTGGCAATGGTGAATTTGTTAATTTTAAATATATTTCATTCAACCAACTAAATAAACATCCTTGTGTATTATTATATTTACTGTACAGTATTATTTTATCTAAGTAGGGTAATTTATGTCAAAATATCAACCAGAGAACATTTCTTTATATCATACAGGTACTTCAAACGTTCCACGAGCGAACGCCTTCAAGGGGTCTCCGATGAAGGCAGAAGCACTCCGCGGTGTTCGCAAGGAAAGATAGTATCTGCTATGACCCCAGGCCAGAAACGATACCAGCACCAGCCTACCAGTGCCTAAAGTTTCGAAATCTCTCATAAATTTCTGCCGTCAGGTAAATTTATTCTGTTCCTGCATGTTTTTGACAGTAATCATGTATAATAACATTTTAACATATATGATGCTGCAGCATCTCTCTGTAACTGTTTACAAACAATACAATAAAAACACTGTATATACTGATGACATGGAGAAATTCATTTTTATTAGCCATTACTCGTTATATAGTTGCAAACGTAAGTGAGCACAATGCTTGTGATAACACATAATAATTCATCTTTCAGGATGAGATACAGATGCCAGTCCTTCAACTCTACCCGCCTGCTAACCCCTATGCTATTTGCCATAATCATGACTACCACAAGCTGTCCACTGAAGACCAGTACCTCCAGGATCAAATGGTATGCCATGTTATCAGTATATATATATAAATATATATATATATATATATATATATATATACAATGAAAATAATATATATCTGGTTGTACATAATTTACATAATTTACATTCATCAATGAACTATCAAACCTAATACAATTTGGAAGATGCATGAGTATAACAAATAGCTCAGTCACAGACCCAAACAAGTTGGTAAACCATTTTTAAGATATATTTGCATTTCGTATTATTACATAGGTGACACAGATCAGCACCGAGCAGGCCACAAAATTGAGATGTCTACCCGTGGGCAAGCAAAAAACAGGCGATGGATGGACGTTCGATCATACCACCTCACCTCTTCAACTTCGGGAAATATGCAAAGCAACGGAGAGGAAAGATATGGACCTTTTAGCCAAATCCCTCACTCACTCCAAAACTCTTAGGTCAAAGGCAATCCTTCATGGCCTAAAATATGAAGGTTGCAGTAGAAAGTTTGAAAGTGAGATGGAAATAGCTACACAGCAATGTGGCATATTTATTAGTACAAAGTACTCTCAACTGGCTGCCTCACCAGACAGGTTTATAGATGAAAGATAGTATTGTTGAGGTAAAGTGCCCATATACAGCATGTAATGACCTCATCACACCATCCACAGTCCCTTACCTGTACAGCCATGACAATACATTGCATCTAAAATCAAACCATAGCTATTATTATCAAATACAAGGTCAGCTGCTGTGTGCAAATCGCGAAGCTATGTTTCCTAGTGGTGTACACACTCAAAGACCTTGTTACAGTAAAAATCCCCAGGATGACACATTCATACAGAAATGGTAGCCAAGCTGTTAGCTTTTTACGAGCAACATTTCAGAAGAGTCCTGCTGGATACATTCTTCTATAGGAATTACCACAATTTTGCATTTGACCAGTAAATTGATTGCAGTTAGGCATTTTCCGGAATGATGGATGCTCAGAAATTGCACAATAAAAGCAGACTTATATTATCTCGCTTGCCAATGCTGTTCTGTAATTGCTCATGGGTCTTGTTAGAATTTTGTATGTTTTGGCAAGACCTATTACTCGTTCAACATGAACTCTTTTTCTTGCAATCTTTCTGTCCTTTAGCACAGTTGCACCTGACAGTCTGTTCGTTTTTTGATCGTGTGTTAGTGTGTTCGTGTGTTAGTGTGTTCGTGTGTTCGCGCGATCGATATTAGCGCGTCGAGTCGTATGGCGTATGTCGTTGGCGGTCGATCGATATCCAGCGAGCCAGCGAGGCGTCAAGCCAGCGAGCCAGCTCGTAACACATACATGTTACATGGGAGCGTGTACATGTCAGTACGCTGGCGTATATCGTGGGTTATTCGTGTGTTCGTGAATTGTATGGCGTATGGCGTATGTCGTTGGCGGTCGATCAATATCACCCAGCGAGTCAGCAAGCCAGCGAGCCCAGCGAGCCAGCTCGTAACACATACATGTTACATGGGAGCGTGTACATGTCAGTACGCTGGCGTATATCGTGGGTTATTCGTGTGTTCGTGAGTCGTATGGCGTATGGCGTATGTCGCTGGCGGAGGTATGCACTTCGTGAGTGCACTTTGTCTATTTTTATATATGTGTTTCCTTCCCCAGTGCATGGTTATCAGCAAGAAGTATGTATTGACGCGGATCGCTGTGGTGGATGAACAGCTACAGTGTGTCTATGAGACACTGGTTATGCCACACCTACGCATCATTGACTATGTAACCAAGTGAGTGTATCTAGTAGCACTAGAATGTGTTTGTAATGCAGTCTAGTAGGCAACTCAGCAGTTTAAGGATACGCTCAAGCTTTTACACGGGTATTGCTCTAATAAAGAGTAAACGTTTATTGATGTATCTCTATGCTCAAGCCAAAATATTTCATGCATCGTTGTATGGAGAAATAAGCGTGTACGACAGTGGCACCTAGTGTTAGCCATCAAATAAGAATGAAAATGAAAAATCAATAAAATTTCGCATAAAAGCTTGAGTGTATCCTTAAATACAGAATTAAGTGCATGCAGAACAGTTAAGTTCATGGTTCAAGGCACTTGTATTTGTTGCCCCTGAAACTGATCAACACTGCCATTAGGTGACAGTACTGTTCTATGTGATAATGTGTGAATGGGTAAGTTAGCTGCACTGTTCTTTCTTGTCGTTTCTCTTATTTAGGTATAGCGGTATAACAAAGGAGTTGCTTCAGGGTGTGACAACTTCATTGCAGGATGTACAAACTCAGTTAAAGAATATTCTGCCTGCAGATGCGATTTTAGTTGGGCATTCGTTGAGCAACGATCTACATGCTATGGAAGTGAGAACCAGAAAATGTTGTTCTTTATTTTAGAAATATGTGGTAAAGTAAAATAAACTGGAATATCTCACATACTTATTCATGAATTGATTCATTTTTTTCTATTTTTATATATTTTTAAATTGGTGAATTTTAACACGAGTAAAGCAACAGATATTTCTGTACATCCAGGAAGAAAAAATTCCGTCGTTTGTTTATAAGGCGTGAAGCAAATGGTGTAACATTACCCGAGTGTCCAATGCAACGTACGTACTTATTTTCTTGCTGCAGATGTTTCACCCTTATATAATCGATACAAGTATTGTCTACAACACGAAGTGGAGAAGATGCATGAAGACTAGTCTCCGTCAACTTACCTCCATGTTCCTCGGGTCAGTATTTCAAGAATTGCAGACAATTGTCCGTTAAAGTTTTGCGGTGACTTGATGGTTTGTGTTCTTATTGCTAAATTTTGCCATGACTGCCATATCTATTGTAAGATGCTAAAATACTAAATGATCTGATAAAACTCATTAAATAAGTTCATTCGGTTGGTAGATAATAGATCTATCTTGGTTAATTGTTACTCAACTGTGTTGATTGAAAACGTACTGATGAGTGGACACTCAGTCACGTGTGGACAAAGCTGTTGACCACTACACCATCTGGTGGTCAAAACTGATAACTTCAGTCAGCTTTGAGAAAGCCTCCTGATAGCAGGCGAAATGTCAGCAGTACGTTTTGAATCAACACGGTTGAGTAACAATTAACCAAGATAGATCGATCTGATAAAAAGTCTCCACAGTTATACCTATCACCAAATAGTTGGATAACAAGATTGATTTTGATAGTGAACATTACTGTCTAATATGGATTGATACCCTTAGCAATAAAATTGACAATCACCAATGTATTTACTTGTACAGGAGAGAAATACAGTGCTGGGGAGCGCAGGGTCATCACCCAACTGAGGACGCCATAGCAACCATGGAACTACTGTTGCTGAAGCTAAGACATGGTCAGCATCTTTTCCCTTTTGCCGTTCGTCTTGCGCTTATTCGTACCTGTACAAAGGATGTTACATATATGGTTGCTATTTTTAGCTCACCTTGACATCGTCAAGCTGAGCTATTGCCATGGGTTGTCATCCGTCGTACGTCCGTCCGTCCGTCAACATTTGGCTACGGTCAACGATAACTCAGGAACTGTTTGACCCACATGTTTGAAATTGGGTATAGTTGTTACTGCTATGCTCCCATATTGAACGTCCTATTTTAGAGCACGCCAGTCGACGTACTTTCGAGCCACGGCAATTTTTTGGCAAAAATGGGAATTGCCATTAGTCAGTTCAGGTTCTACGGATTTTGCTCATTTTTGGTATGTGAATGAATAAGGGCTAGGGGTTTTGATATTTAAAAAAGGATAAAATGCAAATTATGATAAATTATGCAAATTAGGTAGGTTTTGGCAATTATATAGCATATTATAATATAGACACGCAGATAACAGTCTGTGGTGTCACACTCGTCTGGTTTGTTTTACAAGATTTCATTGACAATATCTTTAATACAAAATTGGTATTTCCTCTCCACCCTGCCGATAAAACGTCTATATTAGAGTAAAGTTTTACAAAACATGTCGGAACGCAGCATAACCCAATTCTGCATGCCTCCCTATACCTTAAGGTTAAGGAGGAAATGCTTCCCCCTTCTTTTACACCTTCTTGACCTTTGACCTTTGACCCCAAGCTTCGACATCCCAACTCGTTTT